ATGCACTAATTAGCAAGTGTCCACAGGTTAGGCTGTTTCATTGAATGACGATTGAACAAATATAACAAAAAGCCATCGACGTTTCGAAAAATATAGTCTTCCAAAACGCTTCGAAACGAAGACGCTGCTACTTTCCAGTTGTATGGAAAATACCTGGTTGATTGTAACTATAATACTACTAACAAACTAAGATTAATATGCGTTGTCTCGAAAGAAATGCCTAGGATGTGGCCAAATGAGAAATAAAGTGTTTATCCCTTGATCCCCACTTTCGATTTTCGATTCACACAAAAAAAGCAGACGAGACGATTAGAAGGCAGAAGCTGCTTTTTCGGGAGGGGTCGTTATTAAGCAACTTGAAAAATCTCGGTTGCATTCACCCCTTTGATGTAACTAATCCAAACTGGACTCATGAACTAAAAGTCAGAAAGAGCTGAGTCGATCTCTATACTCCTCATTTAGTAAATTTTCTCATCATTTTTTAGTAAAAGCGTGCTGATCTTCGTGGGACAATAACCTTTAACTGACAGTAACATCATCTAAGGCCTTCAGGAACTCAAAACAACATCGTTCAGCAAATCTAATGAAGCTGCAGGCAAATGACATTTTGAAACTTTTAAAGCTGTACCTCCGGACGGAGAGGATAGCAATCGACCTCAAAAATAGATGATTGAAATTTTTATATGAAGTTTTACAGTGGGAATTAGCAACATTGAATGCACATAAATGACGCCTTAAGCTTCATTCTAGTGCAGTTCACACATCGGATTTCATGTGATGCAAAGCTTGTGCTGAGGAGACTTTCATTTCGTATGAAAGTGGATGAAGAAAAGATTCAAAGTTTGATCTCAGCAGAAGACAACAGCTGATTTCCGTCGTTCTGCAGGCATAATTGAATTTAATACGACGTCTAGGCTGACACTGTCGATTAGACATCCTCCTTCGTTTGGGTGAACACTGTCGAGATTTCCTTCATCAATTTACGGACATCATCAGAGCTGGAACTTATTCTTGTAAAAGCCTAAAGGTAGAGAAGACTGTCTGGCTTTATCATATCTTTTATATATGCTTATAATGACACATGAAAATGGGTAGATATAGATGGATATAGATAGATTTGATTAATTTCAATTCATATTTGATATAATACTTTTACTTGAATATGTGTACGTGTCTGTGTTTGCGCAATAGCAATTGAGAGTAAAGAAGCATAATGTCAGGTTTGGGTCATCAAGAACAGTATTCTTGGCCTGGTGTTAAAGTAAGACTTTTAAAAGAATTAATTTAAGCTCTGATGATTTCCGTCGTGTGCTGGACGAGAGCTCAGCCAATTTTCATCCGAAAAGAGCGAGGATGTCTCGTGGAATAGATCAAGTTGAGCGTCGTATTAAAACAAAATGGTTGCGGAACGACGCGAATCGGACTTCGTGTTCTGGTGAGATCGATCTTCGAATCTCCTCATCAGGCATACTTTCATACAAAATTAAAGTCTTGCTTAAAAAATATTATCTTAGAAGCTTTATCGAAACACAATAACCCTTAGCATCTACGCTGTAAAGCTGTTATGGGCGTAGATTATACTACTTTTAGCTTAAAGTAGTAACATCTATATACAAATTGCAAATAATCTTCGATGTTCTCGTGAAAAGACATTGCGCGAGTGCAAACTCGATTCACAGTCATTAAACGCATCTCGTAATACAGCTGAAAACAATATTGAAATTATGCAATCCTAGTCATGGGTCATTTATTTTGGATGTTCCTGGAGTGAGGTTAAGCTCTGCTGTTGCTTCTTGTATTGACTTAAACACGTATACATAGACATACACAAAGAAAAATGAATAAATACTTAGATCCTCATAATGAGAAACTAATCAAATAATTATATATATATATATCTATCTTTATTATTTTCGTATTTATTAGAGTTTCTTGACTACTAGTAAATTAGTAATATGAGATGTAAAGCAAGGCTATGTGAAATTGAATGGGAAAATTCTACTGCCAATCCTTCATCTCATATTTATTATTTTCAGTTTATTTTTTAATATAACTATATAATTTAATGGTGGTTTAGTTTCAGCCTTCTTCAACTTTATCGCATCGACTTGAATTTGTTTCCACACCTTGACATAACAGAAGTTGTGAAACCTACCGAGCTTGATGCTTCCTTTGCAGGGGACACCAGACCGGGTAGATTCAACAAGATTTTTTCGTGTTCCGAGCAAACTGCGAAAATGAGCAGAAACCAACACTTCTTAAATTGGTGTTGACATACAGTTTTTGCATGATGCCTGACAATTGGTAGGACCTTCAAGAGCTCAACCCATTTTCACCGGAACCGAAGGAGGATGTCCCGTGGACCGTTTCAACACACACCTCCAGGCAGCCACAAACGATGGCTGAGAAATCGGAATGAGCCGTCATCACGTGGCGATATCGGCCAACGAATCTCTTCATCACACATTCTGGCATACCAAATGAAAATGGCCACAACAAAATGTACAGAGAATGAGAGGAGATTGCTTTCACAACTCTAAGCGTATTGCTGTGAAAAAGTAGAGTGAATGGAATAGAGGCACATTCATACGCTCTCAGCCAATTGCTAAACTTAATGCTAATGCACTACAGCTTACAGATGATTTTTTCCTCGGATTATATCAAATTGTATAGTCATAGAAACAAGATTTCGAGATACTTATTCATTGTTGAATGGGCATTGTTAGTCGAAGAGTGGCACACTGATAACATGTTGAAAGTATACGCCGCCCTATCCGGTTCGATTGTGATGAAACCAGTTCAGGCAAAGTCAAAACCAAAGTCCATTTCTGTCCGATTTCGGAAGGAAATACTCTTTATGGATGGTTGCGATGCCGTCAAAAACATGACAGAATATCATAATTGTATAACTAAGCCATACCAACCTCCCAACCGTGAACTCACATTCGCTAAAGAGACAAAAGGTTTAATGCAATTTTTTCGCCCAAAACCTTTGTTTCAGCTGACCAGAGTTTGTGGGCGCGACAACGCAATTTCGACCGGCCAATCATCTTCCTGAACGCTGGTACCAACAGGTTTGCTTTCAGTTTCACTCAGCCCCCAATCTCGACTTAAAGAATGGCAAGTCAGCACGACTCTTCGTCTGGGTTGCCCAGACCAGAGAGCCAATTGCCCCTCATTTATGCCCATAAATTGACGACAATTGCTCTGAGGATGAGCGAAAAAATGCGCTCCAATGCTTACGCTTAGTCTACTTTTGGCCACCAACTCTGTCTCAGATCTCACTCTCAAAGGGTTGGCCGTTTGTCCAACTTTAATTGGTCTGCACGGCCAGCAAAGGAGTGCTCCCGGGCTTGGTGAATGCTCATGACCAAACAGCATCAACATATTTGCCTAATTGGGCCCTGAATATTTCATCCTTTTGTCCGTGGACCAGAATACGTGACTTTAGCATAAAGAGACCACGTGGATGAGCAGTCTTCACGTCTGTACTCAATTAATTGGCGTCCCTATTAATACAAACCGCGATATACCTAAAATCTCATCTATTTGCGGATTCAGAATGACTCGGCACTTGGCTGGTCTGTCGCGATTCTACTCAGCTCCTTTCTTCTAAAGTCGCAAATGAGGCGTCTAGAGAGAGAGCGGGTGGCAGCAAGGAAGGGAAAGGGTTGGAATGGGGCGTGCTCGAGAATGTAGCAAGAAGAACATACTCCAGGGGCCATTCACTTTAGACAGTCGTCGAGGCGAATTGTTTTTCACTATTTACTGCGACGATATTACTTATATTATAGCAGTAGTGTGATTATCAAAATTAATTAATCTCTGGTATAATGGGGGATGATTAAGATAGCAAATACGCGTTTTCGTCATCAATTCTTTGCCTCTAAAGGCCGATCTTTGGCTCGAGTCTTGCTGTAGCCTCTCTCCTTCAGATGAAGCTTATCTTGAAGATAAGAGAAGATGCCAAACATTCGCCACACACACAACAATCTCGATTAGAACCGTCGTCTAAGCTTTCAATCTTCAAGCGAGTGTGTGTGGGAAAGAGAAGAACATTTGGATGTGTTTGTTTTCGTTTAGAGGTAGACTTCCGAGAATAGCAGTGAATCAGTTATATGAGACGAATTCACACTATCTCGTCCAAGGTGTTGAAGGACTGGTAGGTGGTTGAATTCTCTCACAATGATTTGAGTAGAGCTGACGTTTCCATTGAATTTGAAAAACGATTAATGAAGTCAAATGTCATTGAGAATACAAATTGGCTGTGTGGTATGGGGAAATGCCTGGTCTTCCTTGAAGCCTGTCGAGGTTATATGCTGCCTCGTCATGGTTCGAGTCCCACTTGGGCTGTTGATAAGGGCTATGTGAGGTCGAAACTGTAGTCCACTCTGGATGAGAACAAGTTTTGAGAAAGCGTGGCTATGCAAAATTGTGGTAAAGAAGGACTCACTTTAAGCGAACTAGATTGAATAAAAATGATATATTTGGATGATTATTTCCAAGTGAACAGGTGAGTAATTGTTGAGCTTACTTCCATTTCGAGTCAAAGTGTTTGGTGAAGAGATTCGAAAGTCGCTTCCACCAGAAGACGACGGCGGATCTGCTTCTATTCCTGTAAAAAGGTGCTAAGGTCCGTTATTTGACGAACATCATCAGAGCAAGGAGGGTATCATCGTGACGACCAAATTGAAGCTAAAGAGTCAAGACGACTCAATTGTATCCTCTCTCTTCTTCAATCTATCAATCAAGCATAAGCAATTCC